AAATTTGTTTTTACTCTTAGTATTCCATTGTATGGATATATCATGAATTGTTTATTCGTTTACCTGTTGGCAGACATTTGTGTTGTTTCCAGTTCTTGCCTATTATGAACACAATTGCTATGACATGTGTGTACAAGTCTTTGTGTAAACAAATGCTTTCATTTCTTTTGGATATATATCTAGGGGTGTAATGTCTAGGTCACATGTAAATATACGTTTAACTTTTTAAGAAATCACCGAAGAATTTTCCTAAGAGGATGTAACATTTCACATTCTCATTAGTGGTTATGAGAGTTCCAATCACTCCACATTGCAACCATAGTTGGTATGGCTAGTCTTTTTCATTTTACTGTGAAATAGGTAGGTGGTGATATTTCACTGTGGTTTTAATTTGTATATTCTCTAATTACTCATGATGTTGAGTATCTTTTCATGCACTTATTTGCCACTTATATGACCTCTCTGGTGAAGTGTCTATTCAAACTTTATGCTCAGTTGTTTATTGGGTTGCTCATTTTCTTATTAAGATATGAGAATTATTTGTTTTTTGTTTTTGAGGTATGAGAGATTTTCAAAATATACATTCTGGATACAAATTCTTTATCAGATATGTGATTTCTAAATATTTTCTTCGGTTTTTGGCTAGTTTTTTCATTTTCTTGGTGTCCTTTAAAGAAATAGTTAATTTCTTTTAACTATTGAATGATGAAGTTCAATTTATTACTTTTTGTCTTTTAAGGATAGTGCTTTAGGTATTATACCCAAGAAATCTTTGTTTAGCCTAAGTTCACAGTTATTTTTCCCTGTTTTCTTCCACAAGCTTTAAGTTTTATGTTTAGATGTATGACCCATTTTGTGTTTTCCCACACAATATTTAACTTCCAACACAATATTTAACTAATTAATTAATTTATTCATTTCACCTATGAACACCCAAATGTTTCAGCATTATTAGTGAAGTCACTAATACAGTCACAATTACTGAATTGCCTCTGTCCTTTGTTGAAATCAACAACTTTGGCACTTTTTAAAAACTCTATTCAGTTTCATTGAATAGGATTTGGTCAGTTTTATTGATCTGTTTCTCTTTCTTTACACCAATACTATATCTTCTGGGTTAATGTAGCTTTATAGTAAATAGTGAAATCAGGTAATTTAGTGTAAGTTCTGCAACTTTGCTCTTCACTCTCAAAGTTGTTTTGGTTGTTCTAGGTCCTTTGCCTCTCCATATAAATTTTAGAATCCTTTTGTCAATTACTAAAAAAGCCTGCTGGGATTTTGATCGGGATTGTATTGAATTTACAGATTAATTTGGAGAAGAACTGACATTTTTAAAGTTTTGGCTCTGGGTGGCTCAGTCGGTTGAGCGTCCGACTTGGGCTCAGGTCACGAACTCACGGACTGCGAGATCGTGACCTGGCTGAAGTCGGATGCTTAACCGACTGCGCCACCCAGGCGCCCCAAGTTTTGGCTCTTCTAAACCATGAACATGGTGTATCTTTCTGCTTGTGTCTTCTTACATTTCTCTCAGCATATTTTGTATTTTCAGTGTACAACTTGAATATCTTTTATCAAACTTATCCTGATATATTTCACATTTTTGATGCTATTTTAAATGATATTTTAAATTCCAATTTCAGATTGTGTATTGTTAGTATAATACAAATACAATTGACTTTAGTATATTGATTTTATATCCTGTGATCTTGATGATCTCATTAACAGTTCCAGTAGATTTTGTAGATTCTGTAGGATTTTCACCACAGATCATATTATCTGCAAATAAAACCAGTCTTACTTTTTGCTTTTCAATTCGGATGCCTTTTATATCTTTTTCTTGCCCATTGCACAGGCTAGACCCCCTACTACAATGCTGAAGAAGTGGTGAGTACAGAAATCCTTGCCCTGTTCCTCATCTTTGCTGAAAACATTTAGTTCTTTACCATTATGTATGGTGCTTTTTATAGATGCTTTCTATCAAGTTGAAGAAGTTTCCTTGAATTCCTAGGAATGGATATTGGGTTTTGTCCAGTGCTTTTGCTGCATCTATTAAAATGATGATACAATTTTTCTTAGTTAATATAGTGAATTATAGTGTTTGATTTTCTATTAATTCAACCTAATTGCTGGGATAATTCCCCTTTTGGTCATGATGTGTTATCTTTCTTACATATATTAGAATAAAAACAGCAGGAATTTTGTTAAGAAATTTTGCATCTGTTTATAAGTATATTGGTCTGCAGTTTTCTTGTAACCTCTTGGGTTTGAGTACCAGGAGGACTTTGGCAGAATTGGAAGTTTTCTTTTAAAAATACATCTTGTTAACTCTACAAAAAAAGAAAGCTGGAGTGGCTACATTACAATCAGAGAAAGTACAGTTTAGAGCAAAAAAATATTACCAGGAGAAAAAGATTTTATAAAGTGGATGATTTATAAAATAGATCATTTCATAATGAGAAAATACTTTTTACAATCAATTTCATTAAGGATAAATTAATCTAAATAACAGAACAAAATCCCAAAGCCAAGAGCACACTGTACACACTGTATGTTAGTTAACTTGACAATAAATTATATTAAAAAAATAATACAATTACAAATGCAAAAAATAGTTTATGCAACTAACAGCAGAGTTCAAAATACATGAGGCAAACCTGATAGAACAAGTAGAATTAGAAGAATCCATGATTATAGTTGGAGAGTTCAATACTCCTCTCAATAATTAATCGGGTAAGTAGACAAAAAACATATTCTAAATCCTTTAGGATTTAGAAGATTTGAACAATAGTATTAACCAATTTGATGTGATTGATATTTGTAGAACATTTCACCCAACAATTGTATCAATACACATTCATCTTTTTTTTTTTTTT